TCTCCAAGGCCAGAGATTCATCAAGTCAAGTAGCTTGATATTTTAACAGACTACTTGACTTGACTTGAAAATCAAGCTCGTGGCAAATTACGTACTTGACTTGTCTTGAATTTGAGATATTTATTTCTTGACTTGAAATCAAGCTACTTGATAATACTTGATCTTGATACACACGAGTCGAACGGCGTATATTTCTGCAAGCTCGCTCACGCTCAGACAAAATACGGGGGTTCCTCGAGATCCGAGCTGACTGAATCGATCGCGCAGTCAGTCTTACGATGCCATTTTCATTTCATCAGTTATATACAGGGTGACTCACGGTCGATGGTAGGTTAGACGTTCACGTTTATGATAGGAACGCAACGCAGGATTTTTCTGAAAATTTCGCATCTCACATTTCATCACCGGTACTATCGATCTAATATAATTATTTTCAAAATCACGACGTTGCCGCTTCTATAGAAAAGTAGGAACCACTTTGTTATTTCGAATTGAACACCCTGTATTTTATTGCATTCTCAGATTCTCCTTGAAGAGTTGATTTCATCGATACATCACACTCGGGGTATAGCGGAAAAGATCATGGAGATATAGAGTGCGAAAAATCGAGATTTTTCAATTTCAGGAATTTTTTGTGTATGCGAAATTTTCAGAAAAATCCCGCGTCGCGTTCTCCATAAACGTCTAACCAATAACATCGACCGTGAGTCACGCTGTATAGATACGCAATAAAACTGCTGAAAATCAAGTAGCTTGATAGAACTACTTGATTTTTCAAGTACTTGATAAATAATTACTTGACTTGACTTGACATTAAAAAACTTTCGCTTGACTTGAACTTGACTTGATTTCAAGTCAAGTCAAGTCAAGTAGCTTGAATATCAAGTCAAGCCGTGAATCTCTGTCCAAGGCATATAACCTCCAGAAATGCGAGAAGAACACCAATTCCTACCTTATTTCCCTTGGTTTTCACGATTTTCTCTAGATAATACAGGATATCCCTTTCCGAGGGAACCAGAACATAAAGAAAAGAGGAGATAAATCTGAATGGTTTCCACGGACTCTGAAAAACAAGGTCCCATTTGGGGTTAGTTTCAAATGGAAGTGATTAACTTCCTATGTCGATTTTTCCCAAATAATAGATCCTCGTGTTGATGATTTTTTGACAGTATCTCTTTTTGGATGAATATAGTGTAATGATATTTCCCTCAGAGGGGCTCTAGAAACATCATCAGTAAGACAGGAGTACAACGATCATCCTGTAACACGCATCCCAGATTGTTCTACAACCTCCCAATGATTTCTACATACACCAGCATATTTCCGAACACTCAATATATGCCGCAGTGACAAATAACGTGACAGAAGATTCAGGAATGTTCTGGAAACAATCGATGGAACAATTGGAGAGAGAGGTTTTGTTCTAAGAAGCTTCTAGAACAAAAAAAAGGAGACGAAAGATCATTCGAGAACGTTCTCGAACCAAAGCCTGCCAAGTGATCTCATATATAAACGGCCGAACAACTGCCGGCAGTCAGTCAAGCCGCGAGTTTCAGAGAGACAGTCATATACCGTGTGATATTGTCACGACAAAAGAGTTGTGTTTCCACCATATCACGATATCACGAGTGGTTAGCCCATCCATATCGATTTATAAGGGGTTTGCTTGGCTTAATATTTTGCGAGAGGTAATATTCAAATAGGCACTAATAGTTTTGGGGTAACTGAAAGTACGAGACTACATTCAAACATAACAATATATATTATAGCATGAAAAATTATGAGTGAAGTGATGACAAATATGAATAAACAACAATGAATATAAAGACCTAATAACAACTTACATTATAACGACCATTACGACGAGCTCTTGTCAAGTCAAGAGTAGCCCCAGACCAGACTAACTAACAGAAATACACGTTTGTCATGAGAGTTCCTTGGTCAGTTTTTATAATTCAATGTCAACGGATGATTTGATTTACTTTATGTTTATAAAACCCTCATGGTTCGAAATTACTGATATACCGTATGTTCTACTCGTGACAATATAAATCGTTTACATAAATAGTAGTTTTATAAGTTCGATATAAATTAGTGTTTCTTCAGTTCAAATAAATCAGTTCGAAAATGAATAGTGTCGTGATCGCTTCTTCACCCGAATAACGTAACAATATAGAGACCTATATATTAGAGCTACATTTCTAATAGATTTTTCGAGTTTAGGATTTTTTTGTGTCGAAACTATTCATTATGGGTCAAAACGGCGGTCCTATCTCAACAATTGATTTACCATGTACTGACATTTAATCGGAACAGATACAGGGTGATCAGAATTCTGAATCTTGAACCATCACCCTGTATATTTGTTCCGATTGAACGACAGTAGATATTTCATCAGAAATCATCAGATATTAACATGAGAGCCGCTTTGACCGATAATGAATATAGTTTCGACACAAAAGAATCATAAATTAGAAAATCTCGATTTTAAACACCTTATATTTCTGTAATCGTTCCCGCTAGACCCCAAGTGTGATACATAGATGAAATTAACTATTCAGAAAGAACCCGAAAATGCAATTATATACAGGTTATTCTATTTGAATACGATACATCTCCTGTTTTGCCACATATGCACCCTGTAATACATGAACATAATTTTTAAATGTAGCCCTCAAAAAAACTCGAAAAATCAAATGCTGCATCCACGATAAGTCTTGTCGAATAATAGGTACATATCTACACTGTGACATTCTAATGAATAGAAATACACGTTTCAAATCACGGGTTATCTGAATCTGTAGGGCATGGTGAACTGTGCCTATACGCTGAAGAATCTCACCTTATACTACGAGTTATTTAGTTGTGACTATATAGGTTTGTTTTGGTTCTCAGTTCCGAATGGTTCGAGCATGCGCAGTTACAAAAATTGTTTTGGTTCACGTAGAACAGTTCTGGAATCGTTTTGGACGTGTTTTGGTTTTGTTGAATTCAATTCGGAACCATTCCAGAACTGTCAAAATTAGTTCGAACATAGGAGCAGGAACTGGCGAGAACTGACGATTCGCACATGCGCACTGAAACGTAGTTGCACCGTTTGTTTATAAATAAATACTAATTATATTTTTCCTCCTAATAACAATTATAACAACGTTTCAACCTTCATAATAATTTCAGTATTTTATTCACGTAATTCAGTGGAGTAGTATAGAGGAGGTAAGATATTTATTGATTAGTTGTTTAAATTTTATGTTTTCAATTTTTTCTAGACAATTATGATGGATTCAAGTTCCAGTTCAAGCAGTTCCTCTTCGAATGAGGAGGATCATATATTAAATATTTTATTGCCAGAAATATTAGAACATCATCAGAAAAATGAAAATTATTGTGAAAATGTAGTACCTTCCTATACAGATAAGGAATTCCAAGATCTTTTTAAAGTTCCTCGAATAGTTTTAAATAGTCTGGCAGAAGAATTTCAGCAAAGTGAGCTATTTCCCAAACAAGATAGTGGATTTCTACGCATACCTGCAGAAATATGTATGTGGGTATTTTGTTGGTTTGCTACTCATGAAGCTGCCTCATTTCGAGATGTTGCAGATCGATTCAACATTTCTATCAGTACTCTACATTTAATAATTGAAAATGTCAGTATGTTCATTGGCGAAAAATCAAAATGGGTAATAACATGGCCATCAGAGGAGGAGAAGGTTGAGATATGTCAAGATTTTTCCGGGTTGGGGTTTCCAGATGTATTGGGTTGTGTGGATGGATCCCATATTAGGATTGATAAGCCCCAAAATGACCACGAGTCATATTTCAATAGAAAAAAATATTATTCCATCCAGGTTTGTTAATTACATGTTATGTTTATTGGATATATTATTTGTTTGATCTTTTAGATGCAAGCAGTATGTGATTCAAAACGAACCATTCGTGATGTTTTTATTGGATTCCCTGGTTCTGTTCATGATGCTAGAGTTTTTCGTAATTCTCCTTTATTCCATACACTGCAAGAAAAATGTGGAGAAAAGTACATATTGGGAGACAGTGCCTATCCTTGCTTAAGAAATCTACTTACACCCTACAAAAATAACGGTCACCTAACTCCTGTGGAAATTCATTACAACAAACAGTTGAGCAAGTGTCGTGTAACTATTGAACATACCTTTGGCATTTTAAAACAAAAATTCCGGCAACTTTATCACCTGAAACTTAGGAGCATACCTTCTATTTGCCATTTTATTAGAGCATGTTGTGTGCTTCATAATTTATCATTATGTAATGAAGAACAAGATACATTTGAAGCAAATGAGGATTATGTATTTGATGATGAAGTTAATGAAGAAAATGAAGGGAATGCTGTTGGCCTAAACTTCAGAAACTATGTTGCTAGTAATCTATTTATAAATCATCAGTGATATTATTTACTGAAATGTGATGAATATTTATTTCAATAAAACATTGTTTGTCTGAAAGCTTTCTCTGTATCAGTGTTCCAAAATGGAGATAGGTCTTATATTTGATAGGTGAAAAGGGTTGAGAAAATGTGAATTTTGGTAATCATAAATACATTCATTTCAATAAATATTACAATGTGAAAAATGTATCAACAGGTGTTATGTTCGAAAGAGAGTAATGGAGGAATAAAAATAATATTTGATTTTGTTACCTATACCTATATTGAATGTTGAATAATGCTATATCATGATTTTGTTTTTCAAATAAGTCAACAATAGTTTTCGTAAATATTTTATTAATTTCACAAATACTACACAAACATTTTTTAAACCGAAATGATAAATATTTGAAAGAAAAATAACCAAACTAATTTTTCTGAAAATCAACAAAAATATAAAAAACCTTTCTCAATATAAGAATTTGAACATAAAAAACAATGATTCTCAATAAAACATAAATAAAGATACTGTCTTAGCTATATACCAGGGATTTTTAGGAACATGGCAGTTTCAATATCACAAAAAAACATTTTTCAAGTTTTAATCCTTTTGTTTCAAAAATTGTCCTATGAGATTTGTTCGCCTCACTCTATCTTCATATTTTTTCCTACTGACATCCAGTTTTTCCTCATCCCTTTTAGATTTTTCCTCATAATATTTTTTTAGATCATTCTTCATATCCAAAAGAATATCATTTCTTTTTTTGTAGGAGGAAGTTGTGGTTCTAACAGACCTCTTTCTTTTCATTGTTGAATGTTCAGTATTTTTATTTTCTTTACCTACTGAACTATCTTCAATGCTGAGCATAACTATATTTTGTTCTGCTTCATGAGAGGTACCTGCAGCAGGTTCTGATTGTGGTGTTGAGGCTCTATCAGGAATCAATACACTGTTACTTGTGAGAAGGAATGATGGTTTTATGCTTGCCTTTCTGCCATAAATGTCATCAAATTCTTTTTCAAATTCAAAGAATTTAGCTCCTCTTCCAGTCTTATTATTATTATCTATGAATTTTTTGTAATTACGTTCAAGAACCTTCCACCTATTCTCACATTTCGTTGGTAGAACAGTTATCTTGAACTGGTTCGAAAGATCTCTGGCTATGACCTCCCACATTCTCCTCATGTTTTTGATTTCGGATGAACCTATTTTGGGTTTATATTTCTGATATAATGCAATTAATGCTAATGTTCTGTCTCTGGTGAAGTACAATTCTTCAGTGTCTCCAGCAAAACATAAAAACTCAGAAAGTCCATCAGAACCTGCAAATAAAAATGATATAACCATCTTATAAAAATTATCATTTTCTTAAAACCAATATCAAATATTATACGTACCCTGACCACTCATTTCTGCAAAATTTATTTATTTTCAATATTTCTTAATATTTATTTACTCTTTCTTTCTTTACTGAGGGCCCCTGAAGTGTTGTTCTGTTGTTGTTTATGGGTGTGTCCTATGTCCTGTGTCGTCTGTCGGCTGACTCGTCTGCTGTCGTTCAACTGTCAGTTGTCATTTTGAAGAATCCTTGTTTTGGTTTTTCATTTGTGAGAACTGTGACAGAACTGTGCTGGAATTACAATCTTCTGCGCATTGATTCTGCGTCGATTCAGAATTGTTCCGAATCAGTTCGAAATTCTTAACCAAAACAAACCTTATGAAAGAAGCATGGTTTCAAGACGCCACAGCATATTGGAGTACGTCCTCGCCATCGCGTAGACTAATTATTAAAAGGCGTTTTGCTGTCCCACCCAGTATCCGCCATTTGTTTAACTACTTTATGAATTTGAATTTCGGATATCAAATTTTTCTCCGCCGTGTATAGTACCTTATACACCTATATTATACAAATAACACTGCAATATTTCAACAAATATGGAACGAAGATTGTTGCGATATTTTCGCGGAAAAGAGTTTCCATTCAAATCTTTGACACCCTGTATATTGAGAAGAGTTCGATTCTGGATCCATGTTCACATAACCATTTTGGATCGATAAAAAAATCAACTCTTGGAGTTTGGCCACCTACTCAAATAACACCTTGTATTGGTTCATAATGTCAATATTATACTAATTGATGATTTTGCCGATTTATGATGCAATATTTGGCAAGAAAACTATCAAATCATGGTTATTTTATGAATTGATGATTTGAAAATTCATATAATGACGACCAAAATAATCAGCTGTATCACTTGTGCTATATTTTCTGGTATTCATTACTTCAAATTCGTTTCGAGACAGATTATTCCGGATCAGTTGAGGTCATACCTATTCTAATATTAGATTTTATGAAGTTCCCGTAAATAATTGGAATGAAGTTATTTGTATACCTACACAACACAATGCGCGAATCTGCTGAAACTGAAACATATCTCTGATAAATGCATCATGCAATGGCCGACGGTTGTGTATTTATGGAGTGATCTACCTCATCAGTGACGTCATTTGGAGGGGAACATGGGGAATTCACCTCCACCTGAAAACCTCCGCCATTTTTTTAAGTAAGGTTGATACCTTAGTAAGGTATCTAACAAAAGTTCATTATTTGATGGCTGTTACAAGGTGAAAAAATTGATTGTATGAAAATATATCTGAACACATTTTTCGGATATAATTGCTATATATGGATGATACTTTCTACTTATGTATTGAGTCTCGAGCATTATTCCAAGAAATTTGATAATTGCTATTTCTTGACTACTTATATCTCTCGATCCCTATATGAATAATATGTTTGTTAGGTAGGTAGGTATATCTACGCAGTGAAACGATCATGAATGTTCATCATCCCAATGGTAGAATTCTCATAATCCCTATACTGTCAGATACGAATCAAAGCAACAAAGGACCATTGTAGGAAACAAGTTTTTCCATGTTGGCATGTAATGAACATGACATTTTTTGAAACTGACGGGAGTTTTTAAACCGTCCAACTTCACGTAACAAGTTGCCTAATGTGAAATATTTCGTAACTGATGGTGATGTAATGTTTATTATGTCATCCTGTGGTCACATGCGATATTCTATCGTATGAGGAAAATTTCCCACTAACATGAAGACATAACATAAACATGAATGTTATATTACATTATCACTTTGTGATATAATTGAATAGGCCCTCGTGCTTCTTTTGAATATAACAATGTGATGTTGATGGTGAATATTATATATATAGATATATTGGGAATAACATAAAATCAATGTTAATTTATAACGCAGCTACTTCTAGGTAATGCTACTCAAAACACCTGAACAATATTGTAGATTAACATTCTAATTATTTTCTAGGAGTTTTTAGGTGATGTCTATTTCTTCTGGAATCATCAAAAGAATCATTTGAATGATCTTCAGAAAAGACAGGAGAGATGATCTATCCCTGAATAAAACTAAAATTAAATTGATCTTGAGGTATACTCCTGATAAATCGATAAATCGATAAATCGATGAATCGATAAATTAAGCGTGTAATCTAAGACAAATTGCATTCGTTTATTTTTGAATTTTGTAAAAGTGCCCTCCTCCTTCGGACTCGTGCTCTTTCGCTAAAATATAAAAATGAACTCATGCTTTTTTTGGGTAACATGCTTTCTTGTAAAATTTTCAGTCATTTTTTATGCAGTAGTGCAATTATAACCGATAACTCATTCATCGCGCAGACTAATCGCCAAATTAATATATTTATATTTTCTGCGAATAGTCGACCTACTGAAATAACTTCCATTTCAGTAGGTCGAAGGATTTCAGTAGGTCGAAGGGTGATGTGTAAAATCAGTGATACGAATTTCTCGTTGTAGGTATATACGGTGTTCTTTACTCAAGGGAAACCAATTCTGAGTCATCAAACATCAGAGGCGGCACATAATAATTTACGTGAGTGATCTATGACACTATCATGAACTCCAAGGAGATGAACATCGATGAATAATAATCTCTCGATGAAAAAAACAATTCGAATTTTGTTGGCGAATTTTCTCACTATATACTTGATAATCATGAAAGTAGAGAAATAATTGATATCATCCGTTCATTCTGAAGGCTATTGAAAAAAATTGCATCATGCGACAATGAGAATTTCGATAGTACCTATATCACTGATATTTCCAAAATGGAATTCTCAGAAACAATCGCGGAAAGTCAATATAGGTAAGTACATATATAGAATCAGGTGAACTGACACTCTCCTTATAATTCTGAGTGATTGGAAATATCGATGAGAACATTGAAATAATATTTTGAATGAACTCACAGCTTGAAGAAAAAAGCCGACACCATTTTGGCAAAATACCAGTGCATATTTATATACCTATAGCTATATTATTTAAAAAAAAAACTGAAGAATATATCTCTATCTGAAACAACCGTGATCTTGTACTTATTGATTTGAATCATTTCAAAAAAAAAGTTCCGTAACATGCTTATTCAGTTCAATTATTCGTGCAATCACAACAATTTCCAACTACAGTTCGATATTCCTCATACAATCGAAGCGATTATGAATCCTTTAGAAAATATCGAAACCAACTTCGACTCATAAATCTTCATCTCTCTCCATATTGAAATTTATCATCTCCTATTTCGGTATAGATATAATAATTATTATGTCCCTGATGAATAAAGGGAAACATGTTTGTATCGCTCTGTATATAAACAGGAAGAAATATTCAAACTCAAGAACTTATGAGAGATGTATTTATCTGATGGTGGTTCACGAAATCGGAACAAGAAAATTCATTGATGGGGTAATATACAGGGTGTCCATCTAGTGCGTAATTCTCCGATATCTCGAAATCAATTATCACAAGAGAAAAACTTTGGGGAAAAAACTTTTTCAGTTACTAAAGTTGCTCATTTCGAAAATATTTCCAACAATACTGGGTGTTTTATAAAAGCGGGGCAACTCGAAGACGAGTTTTTTCAAATGGAACACCCAGTATTGTTCATTCGAAATTCATTCCGCTCAAGTTCAGCTCTACATCGCTGTAAAAAAATTTGAAATCGGTTGCGGCGTTGCCAAGTTATAACTGATAAACCCATTTTTACTACTATTGAAGGGTCATGTTCAATTGGGTATGGTATATTTATTTATTGAAATTTCGAAAATATTTTTGACATACAGTAGAAGCAAGGTCTCATGTATACCAATCCAGTAATCTTGCGAGATAATCCTCTACAGGGTGCTAAAATTTACATTCTGAATATTGTAAGATTCAGACGACGATCATGAGAATTTTTCAAATGGAACACCCTGTATTTTTCTTCACAGATTTATTTCGACATCATTCGCCATTTCATCGCAGAAGAAAAAATCAAAATCGGTTGCGGCGTTTTCAAGTTATGAGTAATTTCCTTATTTTTACTACTATTTCGGGGTATAATTTGTACGTCATGATGATTCCTCAATTTGATTTGAGTGTGGGAATATTGCTTGCCACATGACATTCGAGGTTCTACATAGATCATTCAGGTATTTTTGTGATATGTGCATCGTCCAAATTTGAAACATTTCGTAATCTTGATACTTATGATTCAAATAATATGTGAAACAAACCAACATGCCAAAAGCAACGCCTGTCTCTGGAACTTAAATTTGGCCATTTTTATTGTCGTTATTCCCACAATCCAAATCTCCATTTTACTTGATGAAGGCATAGATGAAGGTAAGCATAATGATACAAACAATATGTCTCTTCTACGCGGCTTTTGGGAGGAAATTCAGCAAAATGTCTAATCAATCCATATATTTGATTGTGGCGATGTATGACAGGTCATTACACAAATATTTCGAAAAAAATTCAAACTTGAAAGAGCCTGTAAATGTTCCTTTTGTAAAAAAATATATGAATGGTCAATGAACAGATTTGATTATACCGTAGCAACGCAATATTTCCACAATACAAATAAATAAAAGAACTATATGACGTACAAATTACCACGAAATAGTAGTAAAAATAAGGAAATTAACCATAACTTGACAACGCCGCGACCGATTCCGATTTTTTTTTCAGCGATAAAAAGGCGAAAGATGTCGGAATGAAATTTTGAATAAAAATACAGGGTGTTCCATTTGAAAAATTCTGATGAATGTCATCTGGACCTTGCGAAATTCTAAATGCTAAATTGAGCACCCTGTTGAAGAACATGTCGCAAAATTACTGGATTGGTATACGTGGGATCTTGCTTCTACCGTATGCCAAAAATATTTTCAAAATTTTAATAAATGAATATTCTCCTAATAAGCATATACCGTTATCAGTTTTTTCTGTGCTTCAAACAAAAACCTCTAAGATAAGATTTTGTGGCTCCTTAGGCATTTTATAGTTTTTGCTGTACCTCTGATCTTATTCCAT